TCCAGCACCCCAACGTGCTCACCAACTGGAAGCTCTCTGAACCCTGTACTTTTGGGATTTTTATGGAGGATTCATCACAGAGACATGATCGATCCATACTTGCACTTCTAGCCTCTCTCCCCTCTTTGGGGGAATATGGAGTGGGGCTGAAAATTCCAAGCTTCTGATCTTGGTCTTTCTGGTGACCAGCCCCCATCCAGGAGCCCACCCAGGGTGACCTCATTAGAGCAAAAGACATTTCTATCACCTTGATGTCAGGAACCAGCATCAAAGACCAAATATTAGAATAAAAGATGCTTCTAGTGTACTTATCACTGAGAAAATGACAAGGGTTTTAGGAGCTCTGTGCCAGGAACTGGGGGCGTGGACCAATATATATTTTTTCCTATTATTTCATACAAATCTATTTGGTTTAAACACCTATTAGGAAGGATGATAATGTGTTTGGTTAAATATGCCTCTGGGTTATATACAGCACATGAAAGCTGTCTAAATGCAGCTCCTACTTCAATGTTTTTAAACAGCTTTATTTAGGTATAATTTATGTACCATAAAATCCACTTGTTTTAAGTGTACGACTATCACCATAGTTCAGTTTCAAGATGCAGTTTTAATATGTAAAACTCAAACATGTTAAACAGAAAACTCACGCTCATTATTGGGCTGGATTAAGATCTTTAGGGGTCTTAAGCACCCGGCAGGGTTTGTGTGTTTCCCTGTCCTAATTCTCCTCTGACTCTGCCTCTCTCCTGTATTTCCTCCTTCTCTCCCTCCCTCTTAGCATCTTAGGTGCTCAGGGAACAAGTTGAAATATAATCTCTGCCCTCGAAGATCAAGAACACAGTCACGAAAAGTGATAACAAAAGATTATCACATTGTTTTGTGGAAGTGTCATCCTGATAGAAGGGCAGTCCTGGGAATCATGGGGTCACATTTATCTCAGCCCCACCCCGTGTTCTAGGAGATTTAAGGGTTCAGCTCGATAAACATTTATGGGATACCTATGCTTGATGCTGTGGGTACAAAGATGAATAAGAACTCATCCCTGCCTGGATTTAAGCAGCTTTCATTCAACCTCAAGTGACAATGCATCAATAAATGTTACTGGTCTGACTAACCGTGTAACCCAGTCCCAGTACCTTGACTCAGCCCAGGGAAGTGGAGTGGGGATACTAGAGCCCGCCCCCTCACACACATCCTGTCTGATGGCAGGAAGTCTCTCCCTCTTCAGCTCTCCCCTCAGAAGGCACCTTCTCAGGGGGCCCTCCCTGGCCACCAAACTAAAATTTCAGCTTCCATCCAATACAAAGTCTTCCCAACGCCCCTCCCTGCTTGATTTTCCCCTTTCCTTCCCTTTCCCTCCCCAGCACACAGTTTCTTTCACTTATTTATTATCTTGTGTATTCCCGGCTTCCTCCATTAGGATGTAAAGTTCTGTGAGGGTAGGGACGTGGGTCTGTTTCCTTCTCTGTCCTAACTCTAGGGCCACGTTCCAGGTACAGAGTCCACACTCAAGGAATATTTGTTGAAGGAACTAAGGACTATCTGATCCTATCTTACTCCCCAGTGCCGGGGGATCCATCCTGATAAGCCTGGTTCTTCAAGACCTGGGGTGCTGCCTTGATCTCGTCTCCCTCCCTCCCACACACGGGCACAATGCCTCAGTCTGGAGCGTGATGCCTTCCTGAAGCTTTGACCATGCTGCCTGCCAGCTTGCGCTTCTCAACACTGTCTGCTCCTAACTGCCTTGATCCTGGAAGTGTCTCAGTGAAGAACGCTTTTCGACATGTAGTTGCCTGTGCCTCTCCTGACTCAAACCGTGGCTGCCTGCCCCGGCGCTGGCCCCCAACTCATCTTAAGAGCTGCCTATCCCGGTCTGCCCCACTAAATTAACCTTGTCTGTGTGACAGCTTTACAAGACTGGACAGAAGGCAGAACACCCATGATGCGGTTGTGAATTAAAATACCAGGCAGGGGGAATGAATGACTAAGGGTGTTAGAGTTTACCCAACACCATGCTGAATGCTTGAATCCTCCCAAAGAATTGTTTGGAAAGCAGCTGAAAATGATTTTAAACATTTTGTAATAATTAGCGATCCCTGAAAGTAGCTTCCTCAGCGTAGTCTTTAAAGTCACTCTTGTATAATAATATTTCTAGGCTAAACTTTTCTAGTAAAATCTTGGTGTGTTGTAACTCATCATCCTATTCAAAGCTCCTGGTCAATATCAGAGTTTTCAATACTCTTATTAGCTTCTCATTAAAACAACAAGAAGAAGGAAAAGAATTTTTTTTTGGCTCCTGAAGTTGAGCCTGAAAATAAGACTCCTGAAGTTTTCTACTCCAAGAATATATGTCTGCTTTTAAAGCAGACATATCGCTTTCATTCCTGCCAGGTGTACAATAGAGGATATAACTTCAGGGAGCAAAAGGACATGGGTCAGCCAGGTGAACATTTTATTTGGGATCCTAGAAAAGCCTGATACCCATCAAGCTTTATGTTTCTTGGTGACTGATTTCTGTATGTGCTGAGTGACCGCACATTTGGGAACACTATCAACAGGTTTTTATCTGAGGGACAAGAAGGGTCCCTTGAGTACCCTTTGAATTTTAGTAGGTCACATAGCGTGGTTCATAGGGCTTCCATCTCGTAATTTTGGCAGAAGCATTTACATGAGCTATTGGGAGAGTTTAGAATGGGAGTTCTTTTCTCGTGGACAAGACAGTAGGGACATAAAGACAGCTCCATTCTGGCAGCCCAGAAAGGCTGCCTGCTCTGCTGGATGACTAGGGACCACTCAGTTGAACCCTGGTGCTGGAGATCCAGGAAAGTTGGCAGGCTTCACTTTACTAGAGTCATAGAACAGACTTTTGGGTTTCCGTTCTGCAAAGAAATCCTCTAAAAAGGCAACAGAGAGTATGGACACCATCCTCCACCAGCGACCTCCCTCCTCCATTCTGCTATTCTGCAGTTAACACAAGAGCCACGCCTAGATTTTCTCGGAGGAACTAGACATTCTAAGCATGTCCCTAAGGTAGGAGTTCGGTTTCGTGGTGGAGAATAGGGTGGGCCCCGAGGTCCCGGGGATTCGCACTGACATGTAACCCTCAGGACTGGCCCCTCCCTGTTCCTGCTTCCTGCACCCCATCCTAGGGAACCAGGTGGTGGGGTGTCATTCAGGCTTCTTGGGACGCATCCTCCCCTCCACCAAAGCAGGACCCCGCCCTGCCTGGACCACATGAACTCTTAGGGGCAGCCAGAAAGTACCAGCGGTGACGCGGACCCAGGGCAGTTTCTGGAAACGTCACGATCTCGACTCTCCCCTCGCTCGGTCCCCAGGTCCCGAGCTGCAGACTGGTTCCCGCCGGCCTCTGCCCCTGCCTCAGCCCCTCCCTCCTGCCGGCTGAGCTCGGCCTCCTTTCACACCTGATTCCAGCTCGGGTCCCACTCGCGCGCCGTGGAGGGGACAACGTCGAGGTCCCGGCCGAGGTCGGGCACTTGGGGGCAAGGCCGAGGGAGCGCGCGGGGGAGGGTGGGCGGCTCCTCAGCCCGTGGGTGGTTTGCGATTCGGAACTGACAGACTGAAGTCCTGGACCAGCGGGGAGGTGGGAGGGAAGGGGCGTGGGAGGTGGAGCCGCCGGGGAGGGGCGGTGCCGCGGGGAGCGGAGCCCGGCCTCTCGCCCCCACCCCTTTTGGTGCCCGAGTCTGGGCGGTGACACAAAAAGCTCCCGCTCCTAGCCGAGCGCCTGGCGGCGGTGTTCGACTGCGAGCGCGGAGGGCGGCCGGGCAGGTGGGGCGCCTCCTGAGGGTCAGAGCAGGGAGCTGGGGCTGCAGGCGCCGCCGCCGCCGCGCTCCCCGCGCCCGCCCCGCAGCCCTCGGCGCGCGTCTGGCCGAGCGGGTGACGGGCGCGCCGGGACCCCCCGGCGATGCTGCCGCTGCCGCTGCCGCTGCCGCTGCCGCCGTCGCCGCTTCTGTAGGGAGCGCCGGAGCCCGCTGCGGAGAGAGGTCGGTGAGTTTCGGTTTCTCGGCTCTGTCCCTCCTGGGTCGCAGGCGGCGAGAGGAGCGCGAAGGGATGTCTGCGCCCCCGCGGCGGCCGCGCCCGGAACTAGGGAAGCTGGAAAGGGGAGGTGCCGCCTGGTGGGTAGAGGGGGCACCTTTTGGACTGTGGAGGCGGGGGTGGCGGGGCCACAGGGGTCGCGGGGAGCGGGGCGCGGGGCGCGGCGAGGCAGCCCTGGAGCGCGCGGGAGGGGGTCCCTGGAGTTGCGCCTCTCCCGAACGCCGGCGGAGCTGCGCCCGCGGCTGGGTCTCGGGAGCGGCGCTGGCGGCGGCTCCGCCGAGTCCTCGGATGCCCTCTGGAGCTCCTGTCCGAGGGAGCCGGTCTCGTGCCCGCGCCGCGCGCGCCCCCCCGGGATGGGCCCCTGGCAGGGCCTCGGTCGAGCGCTTCCCCCCCCTCCGGAAGTTGTCTCTGCGGTCCCCGGGCCCCTCCGGGGAGGAGAGGGCTTAGTGGAGGGCCAGATGTTGGGGGTCTTTTGTGCGCACCCACGCGTCCGGGGCGCTCGCTCCGGGGAGGGCAGCGGCAGCACAAAGCAGGCTGGACTCGTGGGACGCTGCTCCGGAGGCGGCGGTCCCCAATCCCGCCTAGGCTGGGGGCGGCGCCGCAAGGTTTTGGAGAGAGTAGAGAAATAGGCAAAACAGAGTGACCGGGACTTGATGAGGTGGCGGACAGGGGCGACGGAAAGAAGGATGCTCGCGAACGCAGCGCTGGTGTGTCTCTTTGGGCGCGTGACTGGGCGCCTCGCGTTCCCACATAACCGGGTTTACCTAGTGTATTTTGCTTGTGCTCCACGGTGCTATGCTATGCCTTCTCGTTTTTCTTTCTTTCTGAGGGATTGCCGCTGCCAGTGGAGGCTCTACAACCAGAGGATAACTTAGGGGCGGGGGAGACTGCAGAGGAGTCCGGGGAGGTGGTTGTTTGTCCCGCGGAGACGATTAGGAAGCGTTACGCCCCTCGGCGGCCCGCCAGCCCGCCACACCTCCGCCGCCTTCCTCCACCTCCCCCCAGTTCACCCACGCCACCACCGCTGCTCTGCCCGGGAGGTTGTTTGGGTTTCTGTGCTGCGCCTATCTAACCCTTACTGCATGTATTTCACTGCAGGCTGAACAAAGCTCAGGCTCAGTTGTGCTTCCTGCTTGTCAGCCTCTTGCCTCCCAAACGCGTACCATTTCCACTTGATGTCATCACGCAGAAGGGGGTGAAAGGGACTCGGTGACAGATTCAGGTAACCACCGCTAATCTGGGTAGCCTCCTGGGTGTCTCTGGGTCATTTAGGTCAACGGGCATTTGCAGGGGGGCTCTTTGGGTGGTTTCTGCCTCACACCGTCCATTCATTCCTGTCTGTGCGGAGCAGAAGGGGCTGCTGAAACTCCTGATTCAAAGAAAGAAATTGCAAAAGACTTGAAACCTTCCTTTTGAAGAAGTCATTGAGGGCAGGCTGCGTTTGGGGTTGTATAAATTCCACCTGGTTCCCTTTGAGGGGAATTTTGATATAATCCACACATAGGCAGTTGTATCTGAATGTGGGGTTTGGATATGTGTCTGCTTTCTTATCTGTAGTAATACATTTTGGCTTCAGTCTGTAGGTGGGATATCATTTGTTGAAAAGGTATTGGTCAAATGTCCTAGTTGTTCACCTTATGAAACACTGTCCCCCCCACCCCCCGCTTTATTGTAATAGTGTTCGCAATAGCAAGAGGGACGTGCAGAAGTAAGTTACTGGGAGGCAGGAGGGAGGACCGTTGTTGGGGGAGCAGAAAATGGAGCTTCAGTTAAGCTTCCATTTATATAGCCATGAACCATTAGGCCCTCAGTCTTCATTTTATCTTTAGGTGTTGGTTCTTTTCCAAAAACTCTGGCCTATTATTCTTTTCTTTCCAGGGATAGTTCTGTTTTGATGGCAGCCTAACCAGGTCTAGGGTTATCTTGATAAAGCTCAGTGAAAGCCTACCCTTCAGATGGATCAGGACACCTGGTGTTGGTGTTGTCTCCAGAGGGCAGAGTCATGGTGTCCTGCACGAGAGGTAGGGAAGAAGGATGTGTATGGACATAGACTCAAGTTTTATTTTGCAGGAAGAAGGGACGGCTGAGGACCAGAGGCCAGTGTGCTGTCTCTTGCACTGTAGCAACAGCATGGTATCTGGGGCAGATTCTCCCTTCACCATTTTTCCCCCCAAATCCCTTAAAAAAAAAAAATTTAAAAACTTGAAAGATTTGTCATTCCCCTCTAGGGTAGTTTTGTTTGGAAACGTGACTTTTAACAAAACATCAGTGATGCTGGCATTTATTCTTCGACTCAGAGCATTCAAGTATCACTAGGAAAAGTAGATGAGTTATCAACCTGTCCCAGCTGAAACAAAGACCAGTGCTTTGGAAAGATCAGCTCTGTAGTGGGGCTAAGCTAGAGGTATTTTGACAAGTGGTTTTTATGTCAGCAATAATGCAGGGTGTGTGCTGTGTTCCTGCAAGAGGGGAAGCTACGTGATGGGATAATAGGGAGTGTAATAATGCAATAGAAACAAAGGGTGTGTGTGTGTGTGTGTGTGTGTGTTTTAAATAGAAAAAATAAATACCTCACCCACAAAATTCCACATGGGAAAACGGCTGCCTGCACATGTAAATGCATGTCCAAGAACAAAGATAGCTGTAGCGCAGGGTTAGCTTTCAATGTGGTTTTCAATTGTGTCTAGTAATAAATCCTAATCAAGTGTTGTACTGATGTTTAATTTGTTCTTTTAGGTGGATGCTCCCCACTCCCAGATGTCGGCAGTAGTGTGTTTTAGTTTTAGGTTGGAGGAGCCCTAGAGGTGATGAGACCGACTTTTTCCGCCAGAGCTGAGTCCTTTCTACAGTGTTCATTTAATTCATTTGGCAGATGTTTATGGAGCACCTGATAGACACAGGGCTCTCTGATAGCTGCCAAGGGGCAGGCTGGGGCGGAGTGTGGAGACACAAAGGTGAACCATCTTCCAGAGCTTCTTGGGGGGATGGAGAAATGAAGACCTGACTAATTAGGTGCAGTGGGCGCTAGAGAGAGGGGAGCGAAGAGGGGGTACTGGACTTCTGAGGAGGCAGCTTACGATCATCCCGCCTCCACCTGAACGCCTCTTTCATTAGGGTGCTCACTGCTTTACCAATGTCTGCACCTGTTGTCAGAAGGTGACCTTCTCTTCATAGTCTTTAAACTCCGCAGCTGAATTCCACGTGAATGCGTAGATTTCACCATTGTCGAGAGGTTATTCTGTTTTCATTCCTTATTCTCAGAGTTGTTTAGACCTGTCTATCCTGTTGGCACCCTCTACATTTCAAGGCATTATTCAGGCCCTGCTGCACTTGAATTTTGAAATAAATTCTGCTTTTCTGAATTAGAAAACAGATGGGAGGGGGACTCTCCCATCTGCAGATTTCTCTCTTTTTTAAGCAGTGATGTATCAGCAAGATAGGTTAGGTTATTCTGCCATAACAAATAACCTCCGGGTCTCAGTGGCCCGGTTTCTTTCTTTCCCACACTGTGTGTCCAACACAGTCAGCAGGTGGGCCCTGCTCATCTTAGTCATGCAACGACCCAAATTGGTGGGGGTGTGATCTTGACGTGTGATCAAGGTCACAAGATCACTGCAGCATGGGAGAGGAAGCTCCAGAGGATCTTGCTCCAAAATGACACGATCTGACCCTGAAGTGACTTACGTTGCTTCACCAGACTAGTCCTACGACCCCGTTTAACGACAATCTGATATTTCTTGTACTGAAAAAGGGAAAACCGGATACAGGTGAGTAGCACTAATGACCTTCCACAAGTGATGTGGCCTAGTGTGTTCCTATGGGGTCTAGCTTAGCGCATTGAGTGTTATACGAGTATGGATTGAATGAACAAATGATGCGTCACTTAAAGAATCTGGTCGTACTCCAACCTGTTCTTTACTAATATGTTGCTATTATATTTGCTCATATGACCGCACACCGGTCATCAAATAAAAAATGATAATTATTTTCTCTTTTTGCCTGTTTCGAGTAGTTCTTTGTTCTGACGTGATAGGCCAGGAGATGTTTCCAAGGCTGGTTCTAGGAGGTTCTGTGCTTAGCATTATATAGTAGAGAGATGTTGCTTACACACTTCCTCTCCCTCGCTGTCTGCCTCTTGTCTAAGACTTCCTGAGTTTGTTTGAACAGCTAAGGGTAGAAAAAGAGCAACGGTGGGCCTAGCGTCACCCAGGATGTGGCCTCCCTCAGCCAATACGGCAGATAAGACCTAGAGGGGGCAGGGGATGTGTGGGGTAGTCTGGATCTTCCTCTTATTGCTTTGATATTAGAAAAAGGAATTTGGACAAGAGGTATTTTCTGGTCATGGGGCTAATAGAACACCTGAGAGCTCTGGGGCATTCAAACTTCCATCAGCAACCATGGCGGCTATGAGGGTGGTAAGTTTTAAAGCCTCCCTTTCTGCACCCTCCCTAAAAATAGTTGGGTTCTGTGGCATAGACATTGTGAGGGGCTGTGGATTAAGCGGCTGGTGGCTTCTTGAGAGATTTTGCTGTGCAGAGTGCTGGTCGCGCAAATAATCTTTGTTGTGATAAATGCGTGCACGGATTAGAACGTTTAGGATTTGATGTGTACCTTTAGCATAAGTATGGAATTGAACAAAAGAGTATGGCTTCTGGGTCAGTAATCACCTTGTTGAAGTCATTTTTACAGACAGCTCTCCGTAAGCAGGTGATATGGTAAACTGACTGCTAGCTCCTGAGTCAGTGACCAGAGGACCTCAGTGTTGGCCTAAGAGTCCAGAGGCTGCCCCCTAGTCCAGCTTTCCTTGAGTGACAAAGGATTGCACCTGTAGGAGTTCTGAGGTGGAGATGAGCAGCTGAGAAACCGGCAGAGAGATCAGATGCAGCCCATCCAAGACCTCCAGGTACTAATTCAGGGCAAGGCGCAGACTGAGAGAGGGAGAAAATTAAGCCCGGAGGGACTGGTCTTGAAATATCTTTGGGAAGCTCCAAAATACATGCCTAGATTTTGTTTGGCCTCTGAGTTCCTACCGTTTTACTTTCATAATGAAGTTGGCCATCTAGGTAGAAGACTCCTGTGGAGGGAACGTCGTTCCTTGCACTGCTGGTCGCAATGACGTGGTTGCAATGTCGTGGAAGCCGGAAGGAAGGAAGGTGTTGGTTTTTTTGATCCTTCCCTCAGGGCTTTGGGAGCTACACTGTATGTTCCAGGATAAAACAAATACTTGTTTTATGGTTAAGGATTTTCTATTTCCAGTTGACTTACTGTCGTTGTGAGATTTCAGGACGGAGGCCTCAAGTAGTGTATATGTGATTTGCATTTCCTTTGGGTAGCTCTTGAGGCCTGGGGTTTCCTGCCGGAGACCTGATGTGGCTGTGCAGGCCTTGAAGCACATTCCTTGTGGAGTTGTGTGTGTGTGTGTGTGTGTGTGTGTGTGTGTGTGTCGGGGGGCGGGCAGGTGTGGTACCTGTTAGCTGCTGGGAGTCAAGGGGCTGAGTAGGAAAAGGATGCCTTATTCACCACTTGATTTATTAATTCCTGCATGGATGAAACTCATTGCAACATCCTGCATGGTAAAGGTTATTACTGTAACATCACATAGGCTTCCTGGGGGAGCAGACTTCCCCAAGGAAGGGATTGATCAAATGCAGATGTGCTGCTGGTGGAGAGGAAGTTATGAGGAAATGGAGTCTCCGAATGCAGTATTCTGTGCTTGTGTTTTCTCTTTCTGCTCCCCCATCCCCATCTTACGCCTACCTATCAAGGAAGTGTAACTTTTCTGCCTCACTTTCCATTAATAAGTCCAGATAATCACATGTAATGTACTCCTCACTGAGGTTCTACGAGAACTGATGAGATTTTGGTAAAAGTTTTGAGAGATACTGTGGAAATAGGGGCCATTATTATTCACGTTGGTGTTCCGCTTATTAACAGATTAACTGATCATCTTTATTTTTTAAATTTTTTATTTCTTTTAACATCTTTATTGGAGTATAATTGCTTTACAATGGTGCGTTAGTTTCTGCTGTATAACAAAGTGGATCAGCTATATGTATACATATATGCCCATGTCCCCTCCCTATCCCACCCCTCTAGGTGGTCACAAAGCACCGAGCCTGATCTCCCTGTGCTATGCGGCTGCTTCCCACTAGCTCTCTATTTCACATTTGGTCGTGTATATATGTCCATGCCACTCTCTCACTTCATCCCAGCTTACCCTTC